AAGCCGATTTAGAATGTTCTTTTCATTATTGTTTTTAGAAAAAAATTTAATTTGTTCAAGATTTTTGTTTGAATGAGCATCATGACGTTGACGTAAGTTCAACAAAAATTCAATATTTAACAAATCATTATTCAAAGTAATTCCAGATTTAGAATCTATAAAGATAAAATTCTATATTATTTATACAAAATAAAATTCAATATTAAAGAAATAAATTATTCACCACTTAGAAACCATGGAATATCAGATAATTTTTGAATTTGTTCTACAAGTACTTTACAAGCCCCATAAAGTTTTTCTAATGAAAGTTTAGGCTCTAAATCTAAATTAACTTCTTGGTTTCTATTCATTTCAGATATTGTATGTTTATACAATAAGAAACAGATAAACTACTATCCGTATTATCTTCATTATTATTAGCTGTTTCAAGATTTAAATCTTCATTCCAAAAATCTTCAAGTTGTGAAATAGAAAATTTCTTGTGAATATTAAAATAATAGGCATTGCTGGGCATAGAATTCATTTTTAAATATCTCGATAAATGAATAGCTCTTTTATAGCCAATATTAATTGCATCATCAATTTCAATATCAGAGGGCCAATAGTGTAAACACTCAAGATCATTGTCCAAAAGGTTAATTTCTTTATATTCATTAAAACTGTAATCTAGAACAAGTTGAATAAGTTTCAAATCAAATAAGTAATAATGATATATGCAAATACATAAGTATTTTCTTTGACAATAACCTATGAGATATGAGTGCTGCTAAGAGACTTCGGTTTATTATTGATTATTTATTTAATCAATGATAAACAGAAGTCTCTTTTTTTTTTGGTAGCACTCTACAGTATTACTATGCACTATAAGGCTATTCTCAAGGCAAAGACCTGTATAATTAATTTATTAATATATTATATTTACCCTCACACACTTTTTTTCATTTCTAAATAATAAATAATCTGATTGAATAGATCTAAAATATTGACTTATTTTCAGAACCATTTGCAAAATTTCTAAAAAGGTAAAGTCAGGTTGAAATTGATAGGCAGCTCTAAAAATATGTTTACAAGATTCAGTATCATGTTTTTATGATAGTAAAGGTATATCCTCATAATAATCTTTATGAATCTTTTTAAAAGAACTAAAGATTCAACTAAACTAATCATAATATTAAAAGTTTGCATTGCCAAGAAGTTTTTGAAACAGATATATATAAAGAATAAGAATTACTAAGAGTTTCAATATAATATTTCTATAGGTGTAAAAAAAAATATGCTATCATAGCTATTTCAATTCTTTCATAATGTGTAATACTGTAATTAAGATAACTATCAATAAGTTCACCTAAAATAAATCGAAACTAGTTAATTTAATATTAGGATATACTTAAATTATAAAAATTTTAAGATTAATATATACCCATAGTGAAAAGATATATAAATAAACCTCATAGTTCAGGCAATAAAGCCTTTTCTTCATCTAACACTTGAGCCAAATTTCTCAAACAAAATACCTATATGCAGCATTATTATCTTGACGATCTAACCTTATTACATCTCACTTATACATAATGCTTTCTTCTTTAAGAGATAATTTTAACAGATAATCAAACTGGATTGTAGAATTTCCAAATGTAAGTAAACGAGCATCTGATATAGCGGTATTCCTGGCTGTTTTTTTTCCATATTTCAGATTTTGAACACAGATTACAGGCCCAACTTTGAGAAATATTGGACAGTTAAAATTAATATCAAATGGTATTGAACCTGATATTTTGTCCTAGTTGCTTGTAATAAATTCTGTGCTTGGAATTCAGCAGCAGCACCATCTGACCTAATAGATATTATGTGTAATTTTAAATTTGCTGCAATGTCTATAAGCTTTTGATGAAGTGTAAAAATTTTTTCACTATCATCACTTCCAGTTAGAATCAATGCTACAATTATTGGTAAAAATTTTAGAAGAGGCACCTAGTAATTTAAAAACTCAATTTAAATAAAATATTATAATAAAATTTAAATTAATTATTGATTATTACCTGAAGAACATAAGCTCTAACATATTTTGCAACTGCATTTTCTTGCTTTATATTAAAAACCTTATTATATATATCATCATAAGTTTTAATCTTACAATAATTTTGATTTAAGATCAATCCAACAATGCAACCTAAACTTGAAGAATACTGTAACCTGGCTTTTATTTTTGTACAATCAGTTATAGCCATGACAGAACCTTTATAATGTAATATATTTAAAAGTCTCTTAAAACAAGCAACATTTTTATAGCAAAGATTAGGATTATTAATCATATTATCTGAAATTCTTCTATAGCGTCTATAAATAATAAAATTATTTTTAAATATAATTATGCTGGTCAATAATTTTCTACAGTAATATACTGTATATTTAATTTTTAAATTAAATAATATCACTGCAAAAAATCATTAGCTTGTTAATAGATAATTGGCATGTATTAAATTATAATTACCTTATCATTTGAATGGTTATACCTGCCAAATTCTGACGAAATAAATTCAATGCTTTTAAACTGATACTTTCCAAAATTATAAGAAAATTTAAAAATTCATTTGAATATTTAAGGTTTTGTAAACCTTTATCTTGGTTTTTATGTTCTGTAACTTGTAACATAATATAGTACAATCTCTTAAAAACTGGCTTTTGCTCAAATATATCTTTAGTGACTTTCTCAGAAAATTCTGCCCAAAATTCTTTTGATAATGAATTATCATTATAAAGAATATTATACAATTATTTAATGTAATTATCTTTTAAGTAAGATAATAATAGATTATTATAATAAAATTTAGGTGTATATTTAATATTTTTTAGATCAGGAGAAACAGCTCTAATATGATTCAAAAAATATGGATTATTATAAAGAAGATAACACAGAGAACAGACTTTCCCATAAGTTTTTCTTTCACAATTAACAGATCGAATCCCTAAGATTACAATTATAAAGCCAAATAATTAAATTCTAAGTAGTTCTAATATGGGGTCTTTGCCTTAAAAATGACCTTACGGTATATGATACTATAAGGTCATTTTCAAAGCAAAGACTTCATATAAAAAGTGAATAATTAATTTTAATTATAGCTTTAATCCTGCCATAATTAACTTACCAAAGTAATTAATAAACCATTCAGATTCAACCATTATTTGTTGATTAAATTGTATTATTTCTTCTTCATTAAGTTTTTTAAAATCAAACTTTATATTATTTGAAAATTTATTTGGGAACATTTCTTTTTTAATTAATTCATATCAACGTGCATCTCCATATGTGGTTGGTGTTCTATTAATGTAAGAATTAATTTGTTCGAAATATAGTTCAGGACAAGGTTTGTCTGGAAATGATGAAAGAGATGATAAGGATGACAGCGATAATGGAGAATTTTCTTTTCTTTTTTTAGGATTAGGTAAGACCGGGAACAGACTAGGTAATCTAAGCTGCATTTTTTATTATTCAATTTATATTTTGAATTTTTAAAATGTTTGATAAGTCTTGACTTATCATAATCATTATCTAGAATAATTTTTTGTTCACACACACAAAATACTGTACGTTCATCAACAATAGCACCACAAAATTTTGTTAGTTTAGCGGGCTCGAGTATGTTTCTACTTTATTTATTCTCAAACAAAAAAATAAGTGCTTTATAATCACACTTCTCTGTAGCTCAGCTGGGTTATATGTTTGTTATAAAAGCTTTTAGATGGGAACTTTTAGATTATTTAACCTTTTTTTTTACGTGCTAAACTATTTCAAGCTTTTTTTTACATGCTAAACTTAAGTTAGCATTAGCTAATTAAAATGATAAGTTACTTGTATATATATAGTACGTAGTGTAGGCTTTATATTTAAATATATATTATCTTTGTATTAGCTAATTAAAATGATGTTACTTGTATATATGTGAGTACGTATATATATATAGTGTGAGAAATCTATTACTTTATATATCAGTTACTGTTAAATATGTATGTACATATTATTACCTTTGGCATATTTATTTTTATTAAGTAATTCTTCCAAAAATAAAATAAATCGCCAAAATATTAAATATAACAATGTAAAATTTTAAATATTTTACCAAAATTCAAAATGTAACTATTATTTAAATTAATACTAATTCGCCAAATTTTAAATTTGGACCTTGGTTCAAATTTTAATTAATTTGCTAAAAAAAAAATATGACTTATATGAGAAATATCCGGGGTCCTCTATACTCTCTCTAAAGCAACCCAATAAATATGAGAACCCTACTGGGTTATCTATAGAATTAGGATGCAAGTAATATAGTACATATCGATCTGAGTGATCTTTAATGAAGCAGCACAAGGTTATAGATTAGTATAATCGAGATGGTGGTGCAGGATGGGGAACATTAGAGAGTTTAATTGGATAGCTTAAGTAACAGTAGATTATAGGTATGGCATCTAGTGTAGACTCTAGTAATAGGTAGCTACTTAATTAAGTACTCAAAAGGTGCATGTATATCTAGTATATACTCTCGTTAACCAAGAATGTACTACTAATATATCTAATAAAAATTCACCTTTCCGTGATATTGTGAAGATAAAAAAAAAATATAATGACCAAAAATATATAAGATAAGTTTTTTTTTCATTTGTTATACTGTATCTTACGATTACTATTATTAGATTCTAACTTTACAAGCTTAACAAATATCTAATACAAAAGTTTACAAATATTTAAATATGAAATATTTTCAACAATAGAAGGTAAATTTTTAGATTTTTTTTTTAGAAATTTGGAAAATAAACTCAAAAAATGTCTTATCATCTACTACCCCAACACAAACCTTATTAATCGTTTATTATCATTTAATATTAATACATTGTCTATTAATAAATCTGATAAATTTTCTGATAAAAACTTCTCAGATATTAATCAAAGTATTAAAAGTGTCTATACTACCTTTTCAAGGATAAAAACTTAAATATAAAGGTTCTCCAGACAAGGTTTAGAACTACATCAACCTTCATAACTAGTCTAATCTAATCGCTAACCACCTTCTTCTTAACTAACATCTCTAATAGAGATCAAAATCATTCTTTATCGCTATAACACAATAATAATCATAGTAAATAATATGATAGATCACCAAATCAAAATCAAATATGAAGTCAAAATAATTTCTATAAATAAGTTTTTTTTTATTTTTTTTACTTCAAATACAGTACTTTGTACTTTTTTTTTTTTTTTGAAAGTTTTTTTTTTCTTTCTTTACAAAAGTTTTTTTTCTTTCTTTGGAAGTTTTTTTTTAAAAATTTTTTCTTTTGGAGAATGTTCATA